GAGCGGGGAGGGAAGGGGAAAATGAGGAGCTGATGCCAGGGGCTTAAGTGGAGAGCAAATGTTTTGAGAATGATGTGGGCAACGAATGTACAAATGTGCTTGACACAATTGACGTATGTATGGATTGTGATAAGAGCTGTATGAGCCCCTAATAAAATGATTTAAAAAAATAAAAGCAACAACACACACACAAAGGAAAGAACAGTCACGAGCCCGATGTCTCCCTGGCAAAGCGGATATGATGTCATGAGTGAAGCATGAAGTGCGTGACGGTTGGCGAATACACCATGTTCACAGACATGAGGTTCTTTAATGAGGTTCTCAATGGTAAAAGTAGAGGCAGAATTATAACTATGTAAGATAGTCAATTCTTAGTAGCTACATAGCTAATCTTTTGTTTGTTTGTTTTTCTTTCTCAGAATACAGCAGGAACTGCACTGGAATGAAATAAAAGCACACATCAAACACACAAGGTCTGTATTTCTTGAGATCTTTCACCTGTTCGCCTTCCACCTAAATTGTACCAGAAAGTTTAAAATTCACATTTGTGTATACCCAGTTGTACTAACTCAAGAGAATTTTCCAGAAAGAAATTAAATCATCCAAAAAATAGAGACTTTCCTAAAGTTACATGGCTCATAAGTAAAAAAAGCAAAAATTAAGATTTTTTTCCATACAAAAAAATGCAAGTACAAGGTCAACATAATGTTTGAGAAATTTAGAAGGTCTTCTGATGGCCACAACACAGAACTAGGATTCTCGAATGCGGTTTTTACACCATTTTCTAAAAAACTAGCAAAATCCAATGAAGACCTTACCCTGAGATCAGAAATACTAAGAGGCGCTCAGCTTCTACTAACAACTGCTCTGAAAAGGATCGTATCCAAGGCCGAGACAGAGCGGAGGACCAATGTGGAGCAGAACTCAGTCATAAAAGAGACCAGGCTGACTGGTCGGATAAGAGACTGGTGGGTCAGGACCACAAGACTAGGGCCTTCCCCTTCAGGTCTGGAACTGAACTCACCCCCACGTTAGAATAAGCTGTCATTTAAGATTTTTAAAAGGCAGCATTTACCCGAAGACAAAAGTTCAGAAGGTTAGGAAAGCAAGGGGAATAGAAGGAATCCCGGGGAAGAAGTGGGAGAAAGATGAGACTGTGTTCCTGCAAAGATTTACAGCTTTGGACCTATCTTGGGTCGCTATGAGATGAAATTGACTCTATTCAGTAGGGGGGGGGGGGAAGCTATTAATAAATGCAATACTATTGATGAATCTCAAAGGCATTATGCTGAGTGAGAGAGACCAATCTCAAAAAACTGCATAGAGTATATTCCATTTATGTAACATTCTGGATAAAGCAAAACTGCAGTCTCAAGGCTGGTGGAAGGAAGGACTAAAAGGGGACAAGCTGAGAGATTTGGGGAGGTGAAGGGATTCTTCTGCATTTCTGATTAAGGTGGTGAATACACGTATCTATAAATGTGTTAAAATTCACAGAACTGTACATTTAAAAAGTGAATTTCAAATATGTTAATTTTAAAATAAAGTAAAATTTTTTAAAGGAAGATTTTTCAATGAGGCTACTGACAGAAATAAAAACCAACTTTTTAATTACACTCAACTTTTATTAATAACTAGAGTGTAAAATAGTACTTTTTAAAATGGATTATTCTCTCTACATTTCCACAAGAGAATACTTATAATTTGGAAATGTCCACTTTCCACTAAAAAGACACTGACATTTGTTTCAATGTTTGATGTTCAGGGAAAGCTACTCTAAAGAGAGAACCTGTGACTTCCCCTTACATGACTATGGCGATGAATGGAAGTCTGTAACTATAGCACAAGCTATAGGTCTTGGGCCAAATGAAACCCCACTACCTGTTTTCATCTGTAAAATGTTATTGGAACACTGCTATGCTCCATCATTTTCATTTTGTCTTCTGTTGCTTTCACTCAACAGCAGAGTTGAGTTGTCAAACAATAAAGACTATCCGGTCAATAAAACCTAACATCTTTCCTCTCGGGGCTGTGGCAGAGCTGGGTGGCTGCTGTTATGAAGCAGGGATGAGAAGGCACCGTCATAAAGAACGAGGAAGGCCACAGTCAGGGTCAGTCTGGCAAAGAGAACCTGCAAGCCTAGTACCTTCTGCTCCGACAAGGGCTCTGGTACAGGCTCTTCCTCTTGGTTTACTAACGGACTGGGCTCTTGTTTTGGGGTGCCAACTGCTGATCCAGCAACACTTAAAAATTCACTGCTGGACTCTTCTCTCTTCTCTTGGTTAGAAGTATCCCATCTGGAAGGTTTTCGTGATTCTGAAAGGTAAGCGTCAGAATGAGCCCAGAGAACGGTAGCACAAAGGTAAGTTCTTTAGCACTGCTCTTGGTTGCAGTCGAGGCACTGGGCACAGGCTGGGGGTGTGGGAAAGCTAAGACAAAGCCCCAATGTCAGAGAGTGCACATGTGGGCCATTGCAACATGAGCCAGCTTCATAATATGAGGCAGTCTCCTAATGGAGGCAGGTTTCACGATGTATATACTTGAAACCAGACAATCCTTTGCTTCCATTTTCCCCAGAGGCTGAGGCTGAGGTGCAGCCCTGAGAAAGCCCCAACTTACTGTTGAGGTCTTGGTGCTGCTGTATTTTTCTGCTTGATGTTGGGGTTGCTGGCGAGGAAGCTGTTTCTGGGAGTGTCAGGAAGTTGAAGACGGAGTACTTGTCACGTTTCACTCGAGGTAATCCAACTAACGTTGAACTAGGGGTTGGAAAAACAAAGAGGTCATTTTAAAAACAACTGCTAGGAATAAAATCCACTTCCTATAAAGTTTTCCAACTCAAATTTTTACCAACTCTCCTATTTGGCTAAAAAGATCCCCTAAGTTGTTCAGAGGAAATGCCAAAGCAAGGCTCACCACTCAGGGGTGCTCAACGAAGCCACATGGCTTTTCAATGGCCTCTATGCATACACACGCTGGGCAACGAATAAGAACAACCGACGAAGAAGCAATGCGTTGAATTACGATGTTGGCAGAGAATAATGAATGCAGCATGGACTGTCACAAAATGAGCGAATCTCTATGGGAAGAAGTACAACAGCCAGGTTGCTCCTTAAGAGGATCCTGAGACTTCCCGTGGACATATGCTCAGGAAGGACCAGATCCTGGAGAAGAGCATCATGGTTGGCAGGTGAACCAAAACCTCCAATGAATGAAGGAAAACCTCCAATGAATGGGACCAACTGGTTCCTAAAATCAACTGTTAAAAATCCTTCACTGCCTTGAGAAGTGAAAGGTCTTGTTGTTGGGTGCCATTCTTCAATATGTAAGTTGGGGTGTTTAGTTCGGTTTGCTAACAGCAAAGGAGTACAAGTTAAAGTTAAGTCCAGACTCACAAGTTCACCTAGAACAACGGTTCTCAACCTGTGGTTCCTGACCCCTTTGGGGGTTAATCGGCCCTTTCACAGGGGTCGCCCAATTCCTAACAGTAGCAAAATGACAGTGATGAAGTAGCAACAAAAATAATTTTATGGGTAGGGGGTCACCACCACATGAGGACTGTCTGAAAGGGTTGCCGCATGAGGAAGGCTGCGAACCACTGACTTAGAACGAGAGTGCTTTCATGAGTAATGAAGACGGGAGGAAGCACCGCGCTTCTTCTGTAAAGGCAGGTCCCCACTTACTCGGGATAAGGGTCAGGGACGTTAAACCTCTTGCACAGGAGCTTGTCCGGGTGCCATTCAAAGGTGTCTCGGGTGAGCTTCCCGAACTTCTTCATCTTCACAGCCGACTGCTTGTCGCTGATGTCATTCTGAGGAAACACATTCATCTGGTTCATCACCTGGTCACGCAATTGAACAGTTTTCACATCATCTCCTACAATTACAAATGAGCTCCTGCTCTAATGCTCTCTTGGCAGAGTGCTGGGTAGATGCTGGAATCTGAGTCACAGAACTGTTTCTTAGTCTAAGCCATCTGCGAGATTTTTCCATTGAGTTTTTGGCTATGGAGGATGTGGGAGGGAAGAGAGGGCAGCCACAGACCTCTTGGTCTCGGGGGACTTCAACTTGTTCCGAGTCATCTTCGTCCTTGGCGTGCGTGAACCTGGAGGACAGGGTCGAGTGGGAGGACACGTAGAGCAGGGACGCGCGCGCAAACTCCTCACGCTCGCGGCCCCGCTCCCACTCGGTCATGCCAGGGTCCAGACATCTTTCCAGGGCATCTGTGGTACACAGAATGAGAAACTGCTTCACTTCCAGGGAAACAGGAGGCTTAAAGGAGACCCTTTGGAGGACACAACTCCTGCCCTGCAGATGGATGTATTTGGCCTCAGGAAACATGTATCCTATCGTTGACAGCTGACCAGCTTTGTCATAAGGACACCTCAGGGTGGGGCCAGCGTGCTCAGTGGACTAACACTGCTCTCCCCTTTCAAGCAATGTTCCTGTTTAACTATGGACCACATAGAACAGAGAAAAACCTTTAGGGGATTTGCATAAGTTTTCTGAAGCAGGCAACTTGTCACCAGTCCCAACCATATTAAGTTTTGGCAGAAAAACTCTTATCTCTGACTCTTATCTCTCTCTCTCTTTTTATTTATTTTTTGGCCGCTGTTGTTTTTTAATTTCACCAACAGGGAGGCTATTTCTCAGCAGGGAGCGAAGACACAGTCCATCCAGCACCTCATTCTCCAGAGACCTGTTTTTGAAAAACAATGTCACTGGCTAACTGATACCCTCTCCCAGGACCACCAAAAGAACACTGCCCTCCTCTCTTCTGGGCCAAGTCAGCGTCATAGACCCCCAAGGGAGCTTCCCCTCACTACTGATTCAGCTTCTATGGCCAACCATCCTCAGAAGTCAAAGTTAGAGCTAGGTGTTAGGGCTGTAAGAAGAAAGCTGAGAGGACGCTGTGGCCTTGGTGTGGAAAACAACCCTTGCAGAAGACACGCATTTGCAAGGAGTAAACAGGCTGTGATTCGGTGTGAGCCTGGGCCAAAGCAAAGGCCTCAGAGGGGAGAACTGTGATTAACTGGTCAACTGTGCGTTCTGTCCAAAGCCAAGAGGCAGCCCCTCAGGGTTCCGTGCCGCGCGCAGAAGCACAGAGCAAAGGCACCCACAATGCAGGAGACTAACCTTAAATGGGAAGCTGCTGCGAGAACAAGGAGAAGGCTGCCCCCCACTCTCCCCCACCCCAGACACAGGAGAGCCCAGGCTAGCACCCACCGTGGCGACCCTGTTTCATATTTGCTAAGAAAGCTTCATAGCGTTTTTGCTTTTCTGGATCTTTTGCGAAAGGTTTGAAGTTGCTGGCTCTTGCGCTGGCTGTCCTGTCACTTGGTGTCGCATGCCACGAGCAGTGCCCGCCGTCTGAGGAGGAAGACTGGGGCCTGCCGCTTGGCGCATTCTGGGCCAGGCCCCGGGCCTTGAGCTGAGCCACTTTCAGATCAGTTGCCTGCTTCATTTCTTTGATCCTTTCTTTATCTTTTTGGGACAGGAATTCTAAAACTGATGTCGGGGAACCTAAATCAAAGCAATAGAAAAACAAATGCAAACGATGCAAAAACAAATGCAAAGTATCCTAAGGTAATTGCATTGCTCTTTCTTTGCATTTTCATTATGACACGTTGTTATCATTGGAGGTGAATATTTTCATATTTAGGATTGGATTAATGTTACATTTGTCTTCACACTATCCCTGTGAACAAGAGCCAAGAAACCATGAGACACCCATCTTCCAGCTGGTAAAAATGGAAATTAAGTCTTGAATATTTAGAGCACTTGTGCGTGGCTCTAGAGTGAGGAAGGGCAGATCTGCAGGCTGCAGTGGCCATGGCTCCACAGTCCTGCAGGCACAGCAGTGCCCACCATTGAGCATTTGTTCATGTCGGAGACCTGCGCACCCAGCCCATGCCAGGCACCAGGCCAGGGCTGGAAATGAGGCAGGTGAGGGCCTTCAGCTCAACAGTAAGGGATGGACGTGAAAGAAGCCAAAAGTCAACATTGGAAGAATGCTCTGAGAGGAGGGCTGGGAAAAGGGCAAGGTGATTGAGAGTGACTAGCTGGGTGGGCAGGCAGGGGGCATGGAGCAAGATATAACCAGCTTATAAGTGGTCCAGGAAGACCTGGGAGGTCTCAATTAAGAGGTGAGCTTGGAGATAAAGTCTAAGTCATGAAAGGGAATTAGATTCACATAAAAGTGGGGAAAGAAGCAAAGCCACAGCAAACATCAGGCCCTGGGACGAGACCATCCTTGGCAGACTGGGGGCAGAAAGGTGGACTTCGAGGCTGGCCTCGGGGTACAGAAGAAAGTGGCACAAGCTGTGGGTTGAGGACAGGCAAGTGCTGGCCTGGGTCTGGCCTGTGGGGATATAACTTCAGGTGAGAGAGGTACTGGAGGGCCCGCAGAGGGGAGCAACATAATAGGCTCCATCTGGCTGCTGTCACGGGGCATGGACTGCATAGGGCAAGGAGCTGCTGCCATGGTTGTTGAGAAAAGGAGGTGGAGGTGGAAGCCAGGGAAAGGCAGAGATGTGCATGGAGTCCCCAGGCAGTCAGTCGCTGAGGTAGGAAGACCTCAGTGATTGAGCCACTCTAGGGAAGGGAGTGGGGAACCCAGCGTTCTGTTTATGTCTTTGTAGTTTACATATTTCCCAAGATGCCAAGGGGCACAACGTGAACCCTTCAGGTCCACCCCCTCATAGGGGGTCTCATGCCAGACCCAACAGGGGCTCTGTCACTTTGCTCCTTCTTTTCGGCTCGCAGACGTCCTCTGGCGCCTTTCTCCATGGAGGAAAAGAAAGCAGGCTGTGCGGAGAGAGTGAAGGTACAAAGGTCCCTGGTCTTAACCACAGGTGGAATTTAGCAGCACAACAGACAGAGGGGAAATGCCAGGTGGGGTGAGAGAAAAGATGTCCACATGCACGCCCGCACGTGTGTGTCCTACTCCCCCGGACAATTCCATGCCCACAATGTAGGATTATTCTGTAAAAAATGCCAAGGGGAACACACCAACTTCCCATTTTGCTTTTGTTAACATGAATTCACTTTGATGAAATGATTTTGTTTTGCCCCAGGGCTCGTACCTTGAATAGGCGTCTCGCCTAGCAAGTCCCCTCGCTTGGCGGCATTCAGTTGGTGTCTACTCTGTGTTCCTGGGTTACACACTGCCTTCCCAGAGGACTCTGATAACACTTGAAGCAAGCGGGAGTTTTCTGGGGTTGCAGACAGCTCGGGTCGGAAGTAATGCACAGGCCGGTAGTCTCTTGGCAGCTCGGGGGGTGGATAAATCTTCAGAAAACAAACAGAAAATACAGGGTAAGGAAGGTCGTGTTTATTCTCTGAGGAAAGGAGGAGCTATCCTACAAAACCATCGTTGGGAAAGTGTGCCCCATCCACCCTCCAACCCTCATCTTGTCCCTTCAGACTCCGCATGTGGGAACACAATGAGGCCCTCAAGCGTGCCACAAGTGCCATTCGGACATGGCGTAAGGGGACGAGCAGGCTCCTTCGGGTGAGGTTGGGGTGGGATGGGGGTGCGGGGTGGTTAGGGCGGAGGAAACACTGCCTCCAGAAATCCACAGACCCAGAGGAGGGATGGGCTGGAAAATACTTGCTACAGATTGGGGCCTTTGTGTTTAATAAAGGTGTTTACGATTTTACAGCAAGGTTTCTGACTTATCCTCATTTACCTATTACACAATCTTTGCCAATGCAACTTTTTGCAGACACACACCTTACTGACCAGTCATTGGCTGTGTAACCCCACACTGACACAGTGCAATAGAGTCCCTCCCCGTCCTCCTCCCACCTGTCCCTGGTAACCACTAATAACATTTGTTCTCTACACATTTGCTTTTTTTCTTGTCATTTTATATAAGGGAAGTTATGCAGTATTTGTCCTTTGGTGATTGACTTCTCTCAGTCCCATTGCCTGACCCAAGATAACTCATTTCTAAACGTAGACTGAACTGAACCTGAAATATACTTGGGAAGTTCAAGTATTTTCAGTACCGTCAGGCATTCATGATGGCAGGACAAATTAGGTTTTAAAAGAAGCATTTGCTATTTTTAATTACTGTGGAAAGACCTCATCAGGGACTACAGAGTGGTCCTCCCTGCCCCTGCCCTAGCAAACCCCTACTGATGGAGAGTCTGGATTCCTGTTTGCCTCACTCCCAGGACTCGGGAACCATGCTGTGGCTCTCAGACCGGCTGTGTCCTAGACTTAGCAAGGAGCTTCAGCAGTGCTGAGTCCCCTCCCCTAGATACCCAGGCTGATGAGACTTCTCCAGGGTCCTGGTGGTTTTGATGTGCAGCCTGGGCCGAAGACCCGACACTTGGGAAGGCCCATGAACAGAACATTATTACTACCACTGAGACACTGGATCAGCTCAGCTTGTCCCTACCTGGGCATAGAAGGGGGTGGGGGTAGGGGCACAGACACCCCCGAGGTCAGATTCTCTACATGTCAGCCAGCAAACGCTCATGCTACCAAGACATAAAGCCCCAGAGGAGCACTGCAGGAGAGTGTGCACGCAGTCTTCTTGAGTGCTTGATCAGAACCACTGTCAACCCCCATGCTGACCCGCTGTGCTGCTCTGCCGAGTGAGCCAGCAGCTCAGCCTGAACTGGAAAGGCCAGCTGAGCACAGCCCTCCTGCGAACCACTCATACTGAGCCAGGGAGGGGCCTCCCCCACAAGCCCCAGGGCTATTGCTTCATCAACAGCATCTAAGGCTGGCAGGCTGCTATGGTGATGAATAAAGGGGCCTTGGTGGTGCAGTGAGCTAAGTGCTGGAATACTACCCAGGCTCAGCAGTTTGACTTCACCAACCACTCCTCAGGCGGTCTGCTCTTGTAACCAGGTACAGCCTTGGAAACCCACAGAGGCAGTTCTGAGTCAGAATCGATTCGATGGCAGGGAGTGGTTGAATGATGATGAACACGTTTCAGCAGCACTTCCCGACTAAAATGGACTTGGGAAGAAAGCCCTAGTGATCTACTTCCTAAAATCGCCCAGTGAGACCCTTATGGATCCCAACAGTCTGATCCAGAACCCATCATGGGGACAGTGTAGGACCAGGTAGCATTTCATTAAGCTGTGCATGGTTCAGCGTGAGGCAGAGCCAACTCGACAGCAGTTATCCACACCGATGCCCTCGCTGCTCTGACACCTCCCACCCTCGCAGGCTGGAGGTACTGGACAAACAGTCAGGATGTGGTCCTCTGTATCCCTAAACCCCCAGAGTCAATGAGTGCTTTGAAGCTCTTACAAACCGTGCTCCCTCTCCATGTTACAAAAGCCACGCTCTCCTTGCACAGTGTTTAGCTTTCTAGTAATTACAGCCACTTCTATGCTCCTGACGCTGTTCTAATTATTTTAATTATTTCCTTATTGAGTCTTCCCACACTGTGCCAAGTGGGTATCTTTCATATTCCCATTTTACAGATGAGGAAGCTGAGCCCAGTGAAGGGCGGGAGCATGCCCAGGTCATCCTTGGTGAGCGGGCTGGAGGTCCAGGCAGCCTGGTGCTCAGGCCAACGCTCTTAAGCATCAAGAGAGGCTGTCTCTACCACATCCATTAAAACACAACTAAACAAAACAAAGGCCTGGAACGTGTCCTTTTCTGGACTCCCCAGCTCCCCTCTTGGGAGAGTAACAAGCCCCGCCTTAGAGGTGCTTAACGAACACGATGCAGAAAGGTGATTCAAGTGGAGGATGGTCTGAAAAAGGAATGCCAACAAGGGAAAAATGACTCCAGAAGACACAGGTGTGGCAGCTGTGCTGGGAGCTTGGCAGACTGTTCCAGGAGGAGCACCTGCCAGGCTGGACACCTGCAGGTGCAAGAGATTTTCACACCCAGCTATAACCAAATCTGATGAACTCAAAGTGATCTGAAATGTGCGGCACCCAGGGCTCTCTACAGCCCGGGAGCCACACCAGCCTGCGAGCTGTTGACTTTTTACACCTTTCTTAAAATGCCACGGCCCCTAGAACTGTAGCCATTTCATTTTCATGCCGATTTGTAATGTGTGTTTTGCTTGCTAAAATAAGTGCTCACTTGATGTTGGGATATAAAAGATGAGCAGTTTGGGGGTTTGGCTGCGAAGTGCCTGCCTACTGACCTGGCTAAGGTCGACAGTGTTTTCCTGGACCAGGACCAGTAATTACGCTGCTGCTTGGTGAAAACACAATTTCCTTCTTTTGTGTACTTTATCTAATAACATGGACGACATAGCAGATAACATGTGAAGCACTAAACCACTCAAGGAAAAAAGGGGGAAGGAAATAAAAGGTTTTCTTACTTTCTTAGAAGATAAAGATTTAGATGACAAGGAAAATCCATCCACGATTTTTCCAATGTATTGAAGGTCTCGCTCTGATTCTACAAAATGATGACATGGATTAATTCTCGAGGCAGAGAAGATTAGAGGAAGGCAGAACACAGCTAAAGCTTATCTCCCAGAGCCTAAGTACTGCGTCCCAGCATGACATCACTGGGAAAGCGCAGAAGGGGAGGCCCCACCCTTCACTGACTCAGTGACCCAGCCCCCTGGCTCATGAGGCTATCCTCACTGATCTGAGAACTAGTACTTTCAGTTGTCTTAAGCTAACGTAATAAAAAGTATACTCTATGTGGGCAAAGGGCAAGTACAAAATAAAGTGATCGCCATGGCTAGGACGCTAGGAGCCCTGTGGGGGTAGTGACCTTCCACAGGTGCAGGATTACCTTTCTGGCTTTTGTATTGCTTGGGCGCTGTCCAGCCATAGAGTCCATCTCCAGGCTCCTCATCCTTCAGGACCGTGTCGTACTTGGACAGGGTTTCTGTGGCATATATATCGTCATCTTCCTCTTCCAGGGCCCCGACACCAAAAGCCTTCAGAAAACAAGGTGTCACACAGAGCAATGACACTGAAGCAACCACGTGAGGAGCCACAGAGAACGCTCAAGTCTCTTAGAAAATAACGACTAGACCGCATGCCCCATGTCCAGCCCTGGAGCTGGTCTCCAGCCTGGGTGGTGGGTTCAGGTCTTAGCACGGGAAGAAGAGTGGGGCATCCACGTAAGCAGTGTATGAGTGCAGGGGCAGGCAGATAGGCGGCCTCCAGAAGGAGAATCGCAGAAATGTTCATCTATGTCTCAGCGTTGCCTGGCCCGGTGCTACGGCCAAGGCCTAAAGGCCACTGCTCGTCTGATGGTCCCTGTAAGAATTTTAGATCTATGGAGAATGGCCTCTTAAAAGGGTCGGGGAAAAAACACATACCGGAAAGAAAAGGTAATAAATAAATGATAAAGTTACCATCTTCTAAATGCACTTTCAGAAAAACAATGAATAACACATAACCGCACACCCCCAGTCAAGGGGAAGAACAAAAGAAACCAGAGGGGAAGGGAGATGGCAGTTGGAGCGAGATTTGAAAATAATTAACAATCTACAATCTAAAGGAGGTCACGAGGGTTGGGGGGGGGGGGGAGAGCTAATCCCAAGGGCTCAATGGAAAGTAAATGTCTAGAAAAGAATGATGGAATCTATGTACGAATATGTCTAATACAGTTGCTGTATGGTCTGTAACAAGAGTTGTAAGAGCCCTCAATAAAATGAAAAAAAAAAAAAAGAAAGAAAGAAAAGCAAACAAAAAACCCTCTGGATGGACTGGAGGGATGTGCCATCAGCAACAGCTCTCCCTCATTCCAAGGCTCCTGAGTAAACACTGGGCTCCTCCTGTGCCTGGGGCACGCAGCACTAGGAGAGGGGCTCAGAGGCAGGAAGGTTCCGACAGAAGTCGAGGCACCTGACCGTTGTGTCACCGGGTCTCAGGCATACACCACTGAAAGCCGGAAGGCCTGTGCCGTACAATAAAACCACTCCAAGCCTTCACTTGGTCCAGGAACAATGAGTCCAGGGCAAGGAACACTGACAGTACCATGGACTACCAAAAGAACAAACAAGTCTGCCATGGAGGAAGTGCAGTCAGAATGCTCCTTGGTAGTGAGGGTGGGAGGCGTTGGACATGTTATTGGAGAGGCCAGTCCGTCAAGAAGGGTGTTGTGCTTGGTTAAGTATACGGTCATCAAAAAAGAAGACGACCCTCAACAAGATGGGGGGGCCCAGTAGTAATAACAACTGTGAGGGTGGCACAGGACCAGGCTGTGTTTTGGTCACCACAACGATACCTAACAACACCAGCATGCAGTCAGGAAAGCACAGTCATTTTGCAGTAGTTTCACGTTTATAAATAAACGACATCTTTACCTGGCCTGAAATTCCCAACTTTCTTCCTTTACTCAGCCCAGCTTCTCCAAAGAGATGGCTGGCCCTCTCAGATCCCGCACTGAAGAGGTTAAAATGGTCTCCGGAAACACCAAACAGTGCCCGGTGGGGATCCAGGCCTTTGTAAGCCAGTCCGTGAACGTTATCTTTCGGTGTAAAATCCACAGGTATGACGTCTTTGGGAGCAAAGGTGGCATTTTCGGGCAGGTAGTCATCATCTTCATCCTGTTTCAAATGTTTAAAGGACTAAGGTGAGTCACATGTGGCCTAAAGTAAACGTGGGAGACGCTATTTTTAAATGCAGGGATTCATTACATACAGGAAAATGAGCAAGCTTCCACTTATACTGTCACGGAGAACTAAAGCACGTCCCAGGGCAAATGCCACATGCACAAATGGCCCGACCTCAAGATCCGAGCAGATAGTACGGTGCTGGCCGCCTGTGAACACATCATATGCCCGGGAGGGAGTGCAGTGTGTCACTGGGACGGGATTTGCCTGGCTGCTAAAACAGGTCCCAACCGGCCCAATCCCTCACACACCAAGCACCAAGTGCGCCCAGATGGAAGGTGGTAGACTGCACTGTACCTCAGATCCTTCCGAATGCCCTGGGGGTAATGCACAGCCATAGATTCTGACTCCGGGATCTGTGAGAGACAGTCCAAACCCATTAGTCACGAGGGACTGAAATGAAGAGACCAAAACCAACCAGACTCACTGCTACTGAGCTAATTCTGACACACAGAACTGCCCGCGTGGGTCTCCGAGGCTGTTCATCTCAACCAGAGTAGAACGTCTCGTCCTTCTCCCTCGGGGAAGCTACAGGGTTCACACTGCTGACTGGTAGCTAGGAGCCCAATGTGTTGCCCATTCCACCACCAGGGCTCCCGACTCAACCTCCTAGCATTCCCGCTGCACTTGCAGAAGGCGCGACAGCTTTGGGGTCAGAAAGTGATCGCTCCAGAACTATTTGCCGCCCGTCTAGTCTCCTCTCACTGCTCAAGGCCCAAAAGAAATGACCACTGCCCTCAAAGAGTCCACAGTCTGACTTGGAAAACCAAGGACAACAAGTACACAGAAAACGATGGCTGTGTATGGAGGCACCAATGCCATCTCACCCTGCCAACCCAGCACAGATAAAAGAAGACAGTGCTGCTGAGGGTGGGAGACGAGGACTCTGAGACCCTGCCGATGGGAATCTAAGAGTATGACGCTTCTGGGAAGCGACAGCGAGTGACAGATAAAAAGCCTCAAAAGCCAGGCTCCCCCGCTGACCAGCAATTTGGTGTCTAGACGCATGCGGCCATTCAAAGGTATGCCGCAGGAGGAATGCCCACAGGACACTTACCAGATTTCTGCTGGCGTGGCTTCCTCTTTACTCGGGGGCCAACTCCTTGTCCTTCCTTCCACCCCATTTTCCGCAGCAATTCAAAACCAACAGACAATCTAGGATGGCAGAGCATTAAAAATGAACTTCTTGGGACAACCTTAGAGAACAGTATGATGTGACCAACTCTTCAACCCCGGCTCGCCCAATTGTCCTGACTGAGACTCCTCTCTCGCCTATCAGAACCAAGAGCCTGCCACTGCAGCCTTGAAGGCTACACACCTAACCAGGGGGAGTCGCTCAGACACCCTCCTTTTGAATGGAGCACACAAACTCCAGGCAGTTTCTCAAGCCCATAGCCAGGGCAACCAGGAGTGCGGGGAGCCACTGCGTCAGGCCACACGCTGACACACGGACTGGCTGGTTTGCAGAATGAAAGCAGGTAGAATAAGCCAGCCAAGCCAGTGTCCGCACGGCCTGTGAGAGAAGGCAGGAGGACAGATGCCCGCCTCCTAAAAGGGGGGCCACCTCTCTGCACCCCAGCAGCATGGCCAGTGACAGGAGCACTTGAGTTCCACCACGCAGCCCAACACCCATGCCAGTGTCCCCTCACCCACTCAAGCCGGCCTAAGAGGTTTTCTCTTCCTTCTAACCGGATGACCCCTAAGAAAGCTAATCATGCAAAGCCGGGAAGGAGGCCCAGAACAGAAAGAAAGGCCAGAATTGAACTCTTCTCACTTTGCGGGTGCTATGAGGTCATCGAGCAGAGTGGCTCCAGGAATCGGGGCTGTGGCCGCTGCCAACTGCCTGGCCTTCTCGCGGATCCGGTCTTTGGTTTTGGAAGCAAAGTCGTCTGTGGTAACAATCGCTTTAGGGGCTATCCCAAATTCACTGAGATCCTTAAAAAAAATCCAGACTTACTCACAGTCCCCCGTGAGCGCCGTCACAGCACTTTCCTTCCTCTTTCAACAAGAAGTGACAATGACAGAACATGGTTAAAGATCAGAGGCGCGCTGCCTTCGCTGGAGGGCTTTACGCTGCTCCCTCACAGAAGGGAAGGTCAGTGGCTGAGGGCAGGCCATGGCGGCTTAGTGGGGCCACAGGCACACAAGTGAGGACCACGTCCTCCGTGACAATTGTTCAGAGATGCGTGTAACAGGCACCAATGTTCCATTCACAACCAGCCAGCCCTGTGAGGATGTGTGTGAGGGTGAGCCTGGTGGTGAGGGCTTTTGTGTGGACTGGAGCCAAGGTGGTGGCTGCCTAGCCGTGCCCTCTCACCTCACAGGACCCTCGTGCTGTCCAGAAGCCTGCCTTCCACTCAGCTGCCATGCGCTTCCCCAGCGGTGGGCCCACCGGTATTGGGGCAGGGAAGAGACAGCAAAGACTCATTTCTTAACAAGCCACTTGTTCTGACCCCATTCCTCTTTCAGGGGCAACTTTGGAAATGGGTGTGTGAAACAATGTGCCCAGGCAGACGTGAGGGAAAGCACCCTGTTGGACTTGTGTGAAAGATGTCTTTGCGCTCAAGAAAAGGCACCAAGAAAAAGGAGTCTTTTCACTGGACCTTGTCCTGCCCATGCCAGAAGGTGCTAGTGTGTGAGGACATGTGGCCACACAGAGGCTGACTGAGGGCAGAGGGCCTGGGACTTCACTAACACTCGGACCTCCTGTCTGTAAGAGAAGCCTCCATACAGATGGCCCCTTATGCTGGACAAAATCAGACAGGATCCTACCTTTCTTCTTACCTGAAGCTCAAAGCACCCGACAGAAATACTTTTTGAATCTTCACCACAAGTGACTCCATCACTGGGCATTACGGTAAGCGAGGTTAAATTTTAACACCAGATGAACTGCATCTCACAGGCTGATGGGAGCACTTCAGAAACCCTCACACCTTCCACTTCCCTGGAGGAAGTGGGTGCTTGGAGTCTCCTCTAACAATGTGCCCCAGACACCTCCAGGTGGCTTCCTGTGACTCTCTCCCACCTAGCCACTCACTGCTCCTTACACTGCAGCCACTGGCACAGGCTCAAAACCCCAGCTACTGGCCACGTGGGTCAATCTGGTGGCTTTCAAGTATTATGGCCTAGTCCGGGCTTTCTCCTGACACATCAGACTTTGGAAATAGATCCAGCATAAAATGCTGCTCCAGGGAGCAGGAATCTGTTCACATGAAGGACAGTCTAATACAAGCTCCTCCAAAATCAAGCCTTAAAAACTGAGAGGAAACCACACGTGGGACTTTCTGAGGAGGGAGAAGGGGACAGTACAGCCATCCCACCGGCTGACTGGCCATTTCGGTGCCACACACCCACCTCTTCATCCATGAAATCTTCAGGACCAAGGACAGACTTGTCTGCTCGGTTCTGCCGTGAAGAAATGAAGGCAGAGGGCGTCCATCCTTGAAAGACAAGAGTTTAGAACTTCAGGCAGTGTTCCAGTTTACAATGACGTGGCACACTGCATGCACACACTTAAAACTACAAACTGTACTTACTTTCTGCAACTTGTTCCTGTCAACTACCACCTGAGTCAGTCAGTTCACCGTCTGCTCATAAGTGAGAGAGCCATTTTCTTCCAGTTAAAAAACATTTCTCCAGTAAGCCATTAAAAGGCACAGCATATTCAAGTGGACTGTCAGCTTATGTATGTCCCACCTGCACCACGACTGAGGAGACTAAGATCACTCTACTCTCAGCTCTAGTGCACCACGTGAACAATACATCTTTTTAATCTTGCTAAGAACCAATCTATTGCTGACCAGACCAATCTATTGCCGACCAGAAAAAAAAAAGGGGGTGGGTGGGATTCCCACAGGATAACTGATGACCTGCTCTTTAAACAAATGTTTTCAAGCACAGTACTTTACACATTATGGGACTTATTACAGGGCATGGTGGGAACATTTTCATTGCCTTCTCTCCAAGCTAGGGGCATGTATGAGATGAGCCCCTGATGCCAGCAGCCCTGGCGTCAGGCCAGCTATTCCTCCCCCACACACAGTTTCTCCTTCCAACGTGGCTCCTCAGCCACTCATAGTGCAGCTGTGACACCTGCCAGCCTTGTCATTGAGTCACGTGGAAACCAATGTGCACAATGATTGAATGAATGACTGTGGGGGAGCGTGAGGTGTGCAGCAAGGCGCAACAGGAAATGGAAGTCATTAACTAGCTGAGTCACCTGGCGGGAGCCTAGCGATTTAAAAGGCAGTGGAAGAAAACTCTTGCAGTTGTCATCAATAAACCACACACAGGTTCACTCTGGAAACATTCCAAGTATTCCGAGAGCACAAATGCATACACCACGGTGTTTAAAGTGTACATTTCAACAAGGAGGGGCCGACAGCAGCTGTCACCGGGAAAGCCATACCTTCTTTCGAGCCGACTGTATTGAAATACCCAGCCGAGAAACCGCCGCTAAAGGCCCCATGGAATCGTTTGTACCTTCCTTTCTCATCTCTGACAGTCTGCTCCTGAAGAGGGACCGGCTTCTTCGGTCTTTCGCCTGCAAAGAACGTTTCGAATGAAAGAGAAGGAAGGGGAAGGCAGGTTAGAACACATTTAGGGGACATGTCGTTTTTTGACCATGATTTTTCACTTTTTGCAACGTCAGCTCGAACAATTAGGCCTATACTTTAGTAGCTTATAGGCATTAAAAAGAACATATGTTGTCAAGTGTCATTACAGTGCTAAGATAATGATAAGCATTACTTATTTATGGTAAAGACATTTCTTTCTTTCTTTTTTTTTTTTTACATTTTATTAGGGGCTCATACAACTCTTACCACAATCCATACATACATCAATTGTGTCAAGCACATTTCTAGCAAACCTGGCCTCCATTGGAGGAGGGGCAGTGGAATGGGGTAAGGTGTCGGACAGATGGAGTGGACATCTGGTCATGAAGAAGGCACGATGCAGGGGTGGTGGGTGGCACGTAGAGAAGTCTGAGACGGGAGAAGCGTGGTGATATCTCTTCCAGCACCACCGAGCATCACCTGGCTTTCTAATCCCACACACAGTGTTTCAGCTGTGTTCTAAAATTGATTGTGGTGATGATTACAGAACTCTTTTTATTTGAACTACTGAATTGAATGATATATGAATTGTATGCCAATAAAACTGTTAAAAAAAAAAGTTACCATTTCGGAAACCCACAGGGGCAGTTATACCGTTTTGCAGGGTCACAATGAGTTGGCATCCACTCAACAGCAGTGAACTCGTTTAAAAACCCCTTAGGTTTAAAGTTTTAAGTGCTGTCATGCGAATCACTGCCTAATTATATTAACTGCAATTCAATGTTCCAAATCTATTTAAAGTGAAAAGGAATCATGGAGTCATTTTCAAAAATTCACAACATAAAGTAAGTTATATGACAAGTTAACATGTGGTGGTTGAGAGTCACAGTGCCCTGGATTTTAAAGTCAACTCCGAGATGTTGGTCACTTTAAACTCACTACACGCCTCCATGGCTCCATCTGTAAAATGGGGACACAATGGTAGTAATAGCTATTCCCCAGGGCTGTTAGACAAATGCAAAGAGATCCTTCTAAATGAACGGAGACTAGCAAGAAGGCACACATGAACACTTGAGAGCAGCAGGCTGCTTGAGCTGGGTATTAGAGGCGAGGTGGGGCCTCAGTCCATGTGCGATTACTTCAGTCGGGAAGCTAGGACACCAAGTGAATGACGCCAGCTTCATAAATTCTAATGCATGGCAAAGCTGTCTGGTCACTCTAGGAGTCTAACTTACAGCCAGGGAGTCAAGAGCTCAGGTTCTAAAGTTAAGTGGACCCTGTGGTGGAGGTCTCGAGGGCTGAGCAGTGTGGCCAACAGGGCCCAATGGGTTCCTGCCAAGAAGGTGCCATCTCTAACCACCGGCAAGGAAACTCTAGGCCCTCCCTCCTTTAACATGCACTGGCTCCTTGGATACCCCCTACAGATCAGGCCAGAGCACCCTGGAAATAAGCACAAAGCTGAAGGCAGATCTCTGCCTGCCGGCTAGCCAGTGATACCCCCATCAGGTCCTTTGCTCATTCCCCAGCTGACAGCTCACAAAGGGACTTGCCGGAGGGTGGCCCTGAACAAACTCTGGCTGAGGAAATCTCAGCATAGCCCACCCTATTCCAGGGTACTCAGAGTCCAGCAGAGGCTACTGCTGTATAGAAACATTGCTGACCAGGTGCAATGACCACGGCTCCACAGGCCCCAAGGGCATGAGAACCATGACGGCTGCAGACGGAGAACGCATCTGCCAGAGGCACTGACTGCCATGAGGAACTGGAAGGTGGTCAGCAGATGTGGAGGCCGGGGAAGGAGTGATGGGACTAGAGTGTGGTGGCCTGGGGCCCCGTGCTGCGGAGCCACTGGTATGTTGGGGGATTGGGAAGGGATTCACCGGCAGTTTTAAGCGGAGAGTCGGGCGGCCTGGTGATCCTCTGGGTTCTATGTCAGGCTATTAACCACAAGGTCATTAATTGGAATCCACCAGCCCCTCCTAGGGAGAGATGAAGTTGTCTGCTCCCTTCAAGCTTTACAGTCCCCCAAACCCTAGGCAGCGGAACTTCTCAGTTCTCTAGCACTGCTGAGTCAGAATCCACTCGATGGCAGTGGATCTGGCTGAGTCGGGTTGGGTTGAAGGAGCCCTGGTGGCCCTGTGGGTTAAGCACTAGACTGCTATCTGCAAGGTCTGTGGTTCATACCCAGCATGCACTCTGCAGAAGAAAGATGATACTGTCCACTCCAGTAAAGATGGACAGCTTCAGAAACCCTCTGGGGCAGCTCTACTCTGTCCTATGGGATTGCCATGAGTTGGAAAAGACTCACGGGTGTTGTTGTTGTCAAGAGCACAATGGCCAAAGAAAATGGTCCTAAAACGAACCTTCCAGAGATAAGAAGGGGTTTCTAAGGAAAAAGGAGGGACGTGCTGACGGCCTTCCTCGCAGGTCGCGGCCTCCATGCTCCCTCTTTCGTCCTTTTTTAATGGTTTCGTTGTTACCATGATTAGCATCACTTTTTCAATTGTGATGATATGTACAACAAAGCCTATGCCCATTGAACAATTGTCGGTCGGAGGGCCTCTGCTCGTGCAGGACTGCCAGCACCACCATCCTTCTCCCCCACAGAAACTCAGACCAAACGCCAAACCTCCTGCCGATGCCTCAATTCTGCCTCATAAGGCCCGTGAGCCCTGGCTGCATAGTGGTTAAAGCACTCAGCTGTGAACCCGCCAGCTGCTTTGCCGGAGTGAAATGTGGCAGTGTGCTTCCGCGAAGATTACAGCCTTTGAAACCCTATGGGCTAGTTCTCTCCTAGATGGTCACTAAGGGCCAGGATCGCCAACTCACAATGACCCCTAACTCTAATCAACTTTTCAGTTAGGTCTTGACCACTGGGCCACCAGGGCTCCTGGTAACAGAGACTACCCTTTCATAACCCCTGGCAACCACGGATAACCTTTGGTCCCTACACCTGTGCCTGTTGCATATAAAGTCCCCTCCCCCTCCAAAAAACAAACAAACTTACTGCCAGCAAGTCAAAACAGACTCGAATCAAACCTTTGGGATGAGTAGAACCGCCCGGCTGGGTTTCAAGATAGTAACTGCTTACGGGAATAGAAAATGACTGGTGGTGTGATCACGAGGTGTCAAAGGGATCAGGTATCAGGCATCATCAGAACAAAAAATCTTACCATAGCGAATGAGGCGGGGAGTGC